TTTGCGTTGGCGCATACATATCATGGATGCATAGCATGTACTACGTATAATGGAGAGATTTTAGCTGATATTCCAGCTTGTTTCAGTTCGCGCAATGCATTCTGTCGAGTAAGTCGAATACCGATATAGCTATATCACTGTTATATAAGAGTAGAAAAATAAACAGTAGAAGTCTACATCTCGTTGCGTTACCGTTTGTCAAATCTCATCCAACGATTGGAAGATCAGTGTACATACGTGTCAATGAATCTTTGAAACTAAAATTAAAAGACGATTTTTCGCACTAATTTCTGTTTCATTGTGTAAGAAAAATATTTAGAAATTACGTGAGCATGTCCGTAGTATAATTCGCAAGTGCAGATTTCAACGAGTTCGCATTTTGATGAATACATTATTTTTATTTCAATTTTCTTGAACAGCGTGATGAGTTTACCGGCTCTACCACGTGTTTTGGTGTCGAGCAATGATGTTCCTGCTCCCGGTATCGATTTGCTTCGCACGAAGTAAGTCTGAATAAATCTGGAATATTCGAAAGATTATATAGTATAAATCATTAATTTTTGTTATTACATTTATTGTTGTTGATATAGATGTGACGTCACTATTATACCAGCTGGTATAAGTACCCGAGAACAAGTATTGCAAGCTCTACCTGGACATGACGCTGTATTCCTCGCTAGTCATCATATTGTCAACAGCGAGTTCCTCGATGTCGCCGGTAAGAATCTATTTTATTAATTTCTTTTTTCGATACAATCAATTCCATAATTATATGGTCATTCAAATTTTCTCAAACGAAATTTATTTAATATTTTTATTTAAAAAATATATTTTTGAAACTCTCTTGATCGTTTTTTATAAATGCTTGGTTAAAATATCAAAGAGTGTAAGAGAAGAATAAGATTTTAAATTATTTAAAGTTAAACATAATAAAACCGATTAATTTAATAATGAAAACTGACAGCACAGTCGTGACTACTTGAAATGTGCTAAATAGTTTTTATAATTTTAATACCTTTTAAATTTAAAGAACAAAATATCGTCGTGTCGAGCAATAGCCCTTTTTTGCTTCAATGTTTAATAACTCGATGAAGAATAATCGTACCTACAGAACTTGATAAAAAAGTAAATTAAAGATGAAGATTCACCTAGCTTTCGAATGCTGTAAACCGCATTTGTGTGCAATTTTTAATTCGCGCCATGGAACTTTATAAATTTCGTAAAAAATTTTGAGATTTGATGCATTTTCATTTATATTCGTATAACTTCATAAAATATCAGTAAGACCGTTTTATAAAGTACCGATCTGAAAAGTAGAGATTTCAAGTTGTAAAATGCTTTTTTGAACATCTCAATACGATGATTTTTCACAAAGTTCCATCTTGAAATTTGCCTATTTTTACAAGATGGGGAACAGATGATGCTTTAATTTTGTCGAGTAGTAGTATTATTTTTCTAAAAAAGCGATTACAAAATTTTATCGTGTGACGAATTCGATTTTTGTTTTTTTTTCAGGGCCAAATTTAAAAGTCGTATCGACAATGTCGGCCGGATACGATCATCTAGATGTTCCAGAAATTAAAAGGAGAGGAATCAAAGTTGGGCACACACCGATGGTGCTATCCGCTGCAGTGGCAGAAATTGCAGTGCTCTTAATGTTATCTACGGCGAGACGCGCCCACGAGGGTCGCATGACACTGGAAAAGTAATTGTTTTATCTTATTTTAAATTGCGTAATTTAACCTATTTCTCCCCACCTGCACCGTCCTATTTATATTTATAAAACAACACTTTCTCTATATGAATACTCCATATGGAACATCTCTCTTTTCAATTTTTTTTATACATATGGATTATGTATATACGTATGTGTATATGGAGAAAAAAATTAAAAAGATAGGCTAAATAGCCTAAAAATAAGATAGTAGAAAGAAATCGATGTAATCAATATAATCAAAACGTGTTTTTGTTAAATGAATATCAGATCTCTTTCTGACACGTTTGCTAAATTTTTTTTCATTTTATTTTATATTATTTTATTTATATTGAATTGATACACATATATATTTATATAAAAGATGATATTATAAATCTATACATATGAATTCTAGTTGAAAGTAATAAAATTATTTAATGTATTTTTATCATTCTTCATCTAGTTGTTTAACTGAAATAATAATAGATGTCATTCATGATAATGTAATTAAGAGGTGAGTCAAAATCAGGACCACAATGGTTACTGGGACAAGATTTACGAGGTTCTACAGTTGGCATCTTTGGTCTAGGAAATATTGGCCAAGCAATAGTTAAACGATTAATGGGGTTCGAAGTAGAGCGTTTTATTTATACCGGACATTCGCGCAAGAAAGCAGGTAAGCTAGCAACTTATTAGGAAAGTAATTTTTTTTTTAATTTTTGTGTTACATATGTAAGTATATCTATATTGTACATAATAAATTTTTCTATTATAATACCGATAAAAACAATTCAATTATAAAACGTGGATTTATTATATGTATACCGAATGTCCTATTTTAATTGCCCATCTCGAATAAATGGATCCTTGTAAATGAACATTGTACTAACTGCGCCCGACAAGTGTGCGATCAACTATAGTGTGAAGTTATTACGTAAGCATGGAGGAAGAATGGTCACTTAGGTCATGACCTTCATATATATTAAGGTCAAGACCACGGAGCTGGATCCTTTTGCCAATATTTACCTACATAATTATCAATGGTTTTATTTTTGAGATAGGCTGGTGGACGAAGAGGGCTATTTCTGATTTTGCTATCAATTGGTATATTGCTGTATCTTAGCGTGCTGATAAAGAGTATGACCACAAAAATTGATGACAAGGTCATTTTCAACATCAAATATGAAAAAATGTAAAAAAAAAACGGTTTTTTGTATTTGACCAAAATACAGCACCATTATACCAATCGACAACAGAATTGGGGGTTTCACCTTTTCGGAAGTCCATCCAAATTGTATCTGAAGGGCGAGAAACAATAGTCGACAAAATTAATTTTCAAGAAATATCAATTTTTCAAAATCACAAAAATCATCGCCATTTCTTAACTTTTACATGATACGTCCTTCTAGTTATTCTGCGTACAAAAATATTAAAAGTTATCAGAAATAGTTTAGGATACATATATTTTACTTTATTGTTTAAAAAATTTTGCACACAATCTTTTAAATTAAATAACATGATGCACACAGGTGATGAACTTGGGGCAACGTTTGTATCTCTGGATGAGCTTCTAAAGCAGAGTGATTTTATCGTAATCTCAGCAACTCTAAATAATGAAACTCGAGGACTTTTTGATGACAATGTTTTTGATAAGATGAAGAAAACAGCCATCTTCGTAAATGTATCTCGTGGTCAAATTGTCAATACCGATTCACTTGTGAGAGCCCTTCGTAATAAGAAGATATTCGCTGCCGGATTAGACGTTACCGAACCAGAACCATTACCACCGGAACATGAACTTTTAAAACTACCTAATGTCGGTTGGTAATCATTTTTATTTTATTATTTTCTTGTAACATACGATATCACACACTTGAGTATTCAATAAATCGATTATGCTCTAGAAATTCTATAATTTTAAAATATTCAAGGAATGTAATACTATTATGATGTATTATAATTTACATATATATATAGTACATATCATTAATTTTTTATTTTGGTAATTACAGAAATTATGCCACATGTGGGCAGCGCGACAATCAAGACCCGTAACGATATGTCGATAATCGCGGCGCAAAACATTCTCAATGGCCTTGAAGATAAGCCTTTGATTTACCCTTTATAACAACTTACTTTTCTTGTGTTGTGCATTTCTTACATTTATTAATTCATTTATTTTAAAATATTACTAAAAATGTATGATTATTCATTCATGATGTAATAAAATCCTCTTTAATTCTTCAAATTACACAAATATAATCACTCGGCAAATCCTAATCTCAATTTAATTATTTATATAATTAATTTATTCATTAAATTTACTATACTGATTAAAGCTCCTGACTAGTCGCCGCGGTCATATTGAATCGTGATGTCAAGTGAGAAACGATACATTGAAGTTTCTTGCTTTTTTTTTTATAAATAGACAATTTGGATAAAACAAAATTTATGAGATTGCTTTTTTAAAAATGGGTTGCGGCAACTAGTCAGAAGCCTCGATCCTTAAGTAGGCGCAAAATGGGATTACAGCCACATGGTTCTTCTTTTTTTCTTCTGGACGGACTCCAATTTTAAAAGGAGTCACAGTATCATGAATAAAAAATGAATAAAATAATCCAGTATTTAGCCTCCTTGAGAGGGGGGGCAGAGCGCTCCAAAACAAAAACTGTAACAATCACTGAGTAATTTTGTGTGCCTACTTAAGGGTTACTCAATCAAATAAATATTACATTTATATTAAGTGAATTATCTCTAGAAATATTCCTAAAAATCTTGCTTATCAAATCTTATGCTTATTTAATTAATTACCATATTGAAATGATCTTATAAAAGGTACTTCGTAGGATATTTTCAAAAATTTTACAAACACATTAGTATATTTCAGGCCTATCCAATTTAAGCTCCGGAGCCAAAACGCAAAGCCATCGACGCAAAAAATTCAATGTGGACAAGATTTCGGGGACTGTGAAGTGTTGATAAGCGTCACTCAGATGCACATCAACACTTTACCGTCCCCGAAATCTTATTCATATTGAATTTTTTGCGTCGATGGCTTTGCGTTTTGACTCCGGAGTTCAAATTGGACAGGCCTGGTATATTTAAATGTCTTAAAGTCTCATTTTAAAACTTGTTATTCTCTTCTCTCTACCTAAAATCTATCAAATTTCGAAAAGTTTTTAACAATTTATTACTCACTAAATTACTTAATGTAATAAATTGAAACGTTACTACACATGATTTTCATAAAAAATATCAAGTATTTTCTTAATAAATAAATGATATTCTAACTTTGATTGCATCTCTGTATTTCTCAAAAAGAATCTCTATACCTAATAGATTTCTGGGCTAATATGCCGATCGGGGAAGATCGCTTCGATGACTTTGACCTTGACACATGTTGTCAAGATCATTACCCACAGTAATTATCTCCAAGAGATTTTAGCCATCGCTCGTTATTTGTTAAAAAGTTATTAACCAAAAAGTTTAAGAAATAACGTCTTATTTCTGCTATACAATATTAAGAACTACTCCATATTCCGTCTACTAAGGGAATATGGAAATCTACATTGATTTTCTACGTGAAGCGGGTTCCACTCTATCTCTCCCCCTGCTTAGGGGTGCGCGACTTCCAGGTGAAGTGAGGGCCACCCTACCTCCCTCCTACCTATGTCAAGGTCATCGGAGCGATCTCCCCTGATTGGCATATATTTACAGATTTCTGCATTAAAGTATCATATAATAATCATTCTAAAAGGTCTTTCATTTTTCATTCAAACACACTTGCAGCAATATGAATGAAGTGTCACATAAGCAAGTAAAAACGTGAAAACATATTTGATTCTTAAAAAAAGATTATTGTTTATATAATAATTGCAATAACTTATAAATTCATATCTGAACAGTGTTCAGCATTTATCACCCATAATGGACAACAGGTAACCATCAGGCTTCCACTACTGCATTTTTTAAACTACTTAAGATAGGATCAATCTTATTTTCCAACGATAATACATGGCCGGTATTGCAACTGTGACTAGCAATAAAACTAACGACCAATGGCAACTTATTTATCTGGATTACCTGAAAAAGAAAAACATAAAGAATATATTAATGTTAAATATTAAATTATTATTAATTGTAAGTATTATTAATTGTGAAAATAACTTCTAAAATCAATTAGCACCAAATTATATTTATACATAATGCATTAATAATTTTAGAATTTATTTTGTAATATCTTTAATATAGTTGAAATAATTTAATTTAAATTTAAAAAGTAATTAAAATGAGATATATATATATATATACAGGGTGTTAGTTAAGTATGTTGCCATACTCAACAGAGTGATTTTTTGGTTTATTTCAAGTAAAAAAGTCCATATAAACATGTACCCTAAACGGCTTAATTTCCAAAATAAAAAAATTTAAACGTGTAGTAATAATCTGTTTATTTGAAAGAAATACAGCTTGAACTAGTCAAAAACTAATCAAAAACAGAAAAATAAAAATAGGCTTCATTTTTTTTGATGAAATAAAACAATTAGATGAATTATTGAAAATGTCCACCTTGTGATTTTGATGGACTGAAACAATTTGGCCCTCAAAGATTGACGTACACACTCAAAGATCAGAACTGAAGTCTATTTTTGATTTTGTGACTTTGACTTTGACTTTGTCACTTTGTTTACGGTTGTGCGAATGGTAACTCATGTGAAGCAAGGTATATTTATGCCGGAAGATATCTCCAATGCAATTTACCGTTTCGTCAAACATTTGCGAACATTCACCTGTATTTCGGAAACTAAGTCGTTTAGAACACATATTTATATGGACTTTTTTACTTGAAATAAACCAAAAAATTTCTCTGTTGAGTATGGCAACATACATAACTAACACCCTGTATATAGAAATGACATCAAAAAATTATTTGATAATTATAAAAGTATAAATTATTTAATAATAAATAAAATTTATAATATTTAATAAAATAACCAATATTAAAACGTTTTTATTAAATACATTATTTCTAGTAATATTTAAATAATTGTTCTTTTATCTTTTTTTATTGCTTATTATCTCTATGTGTTTATATAATTTTCAAAACCTCAATTATTATGTTGCTTTGAAATTACATAAAATTAAATTACATAAAATAACATGAAATTTATACATAAATTAAAAATTTTAATATAAATGTATATTTTATACAAATTGTTATGTATTTTACCTGATAATTACTATACATGCATATAATGGTTTTATTTTTGCCAAGCCCCAATTTACTTCCTTGATCCGTAGCCATTCCAAAAGTAGATAAAAAACTAGCTCTTGTAGCTAATTCTGGCGCCTTTTCGTTAGCTACAGATATAACAGGTACTCCATCCCTGTCAGTAATTAATATGCTATGCAAACCTTCCACATCAGTTAACAGTCCATAGAGAAACTTCTTCAATTCCTAAAATAACAAAATCATAATTTAAATAAGTTATATTTTAAGGAGAAGAATTTTAAGACATTACCTAAGACGGTCTTAAAATAAGAACGGACTATGAATACCGCTCTATGATTTTTTGCATTTACAAGTTGTTAATTATACAGTGAATCGTTTAGCTCAACTAATGGGAGAGTAAATACGAAGTCGAATTTGGCCAGTCTTAAAAAAATCGATAGTCTTCATCGTACAAGTTGGCTGTTGGCCAATTTCACTGATTTGCCGATAAGACTTAGGAACTATCACCTATCAACTCATTATAGAATTGGCATAATAGAAATAGAAGATAATATAATGGTAAATTGATTGCAGAAACAGAATAGTTGCCATTTCGTAATCATTTAAATGATATATTCTCTTGTAATATTGAGAGTAATAAAGATTCATCTTCATCTAAATTATTTATTTCATTTAAATGTTTACAACCTGACAGAATATGTGATTTTTATTGACAATCTGCTGGCAGCTAATATTGGCAGGCTCTGCCAACAAAATATGAGTAAGTATGGACACAGACAGATCTGTTGCAATATCTGACAATGAGCAAATCTGTCTTCCATTATTATACTGCAGCAGATAGTACTACTTTCTTGGAGATGAACTAAACAAATTTTTATCAATACATCTACTGTTCATACAACATGTGATCTATTCTTTTTGTCACAATTTTTAAAATTTCTACAACAGCATGATAAAAAAAGATCTATATTTTATATAATATATATAAAGCTGATTCTACACTGAGTCGGTAGTCGAAAATCTTAAGTAATCAGTCTTAATCTAAATAGGTGACTCTGGCCTGCATTCATAGTCAGGCCTTATATTTAAGGTTTCCTTAAATTTATCTTCAGATGCTTTACGAATTATTTCATTGGCTACTGAGCATCTAAAGATAAATTTAAGGAAGCCTTAAGTATAAAGTCTGACTATGAATACGGGCATATGACTTTTCGCATTAACTGCAAGTAGTTAAATATATACAGCGAGTCATTTACCTCGATTAATAAGGAAACTCGAATTTGGCTAGTCTTAAGAAAATTGGCTAACTTGATCGATTCACCGATAAAGCTGATTCTACAATGAGTCGGTAGTCGGAAATCTTAAGCCTTAACCAGTTTTAACCTAAATAGGTGACTATGATTTTTTGCATCTACTAGTTGTTAGTTGTACAGCGAATCATTTAATTCGACTAATGGGAAGTAATAAAGTCGAATTTGATCAGTCTTAAAAAAATCGGTAGTCTTAATCATACAAGACGACTGTTGGCCAACTTCACCGATTCACCGATAAGACTTAGGACTACCGACTCATTGTAGAATCAGCTTAAGATTTAGGACTACCGATTACAGACTGATTTAGAATCATCATAAACAAAACAAAGCGTATAACCTTAAACTTAATGTACAAAGCTTTTTACAAAGAATCTCCTTACACTAAGAACTTACAACTGTCATTCTTTCCAAGGAACGTGCACGAGTCTGTAAACATCGACCAAGCACGACCTCTTCTTCTTCTTCTTAGTTAATGGCTCCTGCCTCCCATGGAGTAAACGGAGGCAATACGGCCAGATCACGTCCGTAAAATTGCTATGAGTATGGTATGGCAATAGGCCTATTCGTTTTGGCTGAACTTTTGCACCAGTTCATCTTTCTTCCTCTTCTTTCCTCCTAGAGAGAAAAAGAAGAAATATGAACTGGTGCAAAAGTTCAACAAAAAAGAACAGACCTAATATAGAGTGGGAGATCGGCGACTACAGCGATAAAAATCGCTGTTGAAACGAAATCTAAAGAAGCTCCGAGTACTCGAGGCGGAATGGCGCACGACACTGGCTACATTTACACCATGCATTTAGGCCGCGGCCTATACAATAGATGTCCTTGTTTATCCTGTAGGTTAAACAAAGACACCTATCGTATAGGTCGCGGACTAAGTGCACGGTGTAAACGTAGCCATTATGCGTGTCGCGGGGACGGGAAGGGCGGTTAAAGGCTGGCGCAGGCGTAGAAGCACCGTGTACACGCCGCGAGCAGGCGCCGCGAAAATTGATTTAGGGCGCCGTCACATGCGGCGTAACCTGCGTATTCTAGTAATTTATTAGAATACGCAGGTTATGCTTACGCAGGTTACGCCGCATGTGACGGCACCCTAAAAGCTATGGTAGGAGCATATTGGAACTTGTTGGAGTATGCGACGCGAACAAACTCAGTCTTAAGCGGGGAGCACAGACTTTTGCAGAACGCATAACATGTAATGCATAAAAAATTGAATCAATCAGAATTCCTTATTTCATGGAAAGGAAGGAAAGGAGGACTTTGATTGGGACATTTTCTTATGCATTACCCCGGATCTACAATAGGGTTTTAAGCCTTAAGCCATAAGAAATGGGCGAATCACGGTCGATTATTCTCCTCGGATTCGACTGTAATTGGTCAATTTCTTATGGCTTAAGGCTTAAAACACCTATTGTAAATCCGGACTTATGCAAAAGTCTGTATTCCTCGCTTTAAATGCAAGAATCGACTATAAATACCGGTTTCGCGTTTCACAGTTGGTAGTCCTTCCGCACTATTGACGAGGAGCAAAAGTAGGGCTGGAATCCGGTCTTAAGGCCGCAGCACAGACTCTTGCATAACGCATAGTGCATAAGCGAATGAACTAATCAGAATCTTTCCTTTCCTCCCATTCCATGGAAAAGAAGAATTTCAATTGGTCGATTCCCTTATGCATTATGCATTATGCGTTATGCAAGAGTCTGTGCTGCGGCCATTAATCTCAAGCAATGGCTGCGTTCAGCAGACTCAACAGTTTTGCAACCGTTTTATGATTGTCTGCTGAGATAGGACCATTCTTCTAGATCTAAAAGTATGATCCAATCAGCTCGAAGGAAACTTCCAATAGTTGCAAAACGAACGTTCTGCTGAACGCAGCCATTGTCTTAAGATGCTAATACGGTTCTCTGATTGGTTCATGTGCTAACTTAAGACCATCTCGAATCTTGAGCAATGTCTATGGATTCCGCCCTAGAGGTGTGGTTTGGTCAAACTGCACACACCACAGGTCTGTTCGCGTTGTTTGCACTCTTGCACTCAGCATCTTCGCTTTCTCTCTTTTCAACGCCCAAATATGTATCTATCTCATTTTAAGTTCAAGAATTTTGGGGAATTTCAAACAATGCGAACAGACCTCATGTGATCTTTCTACCATTTTGGCTGTATTCCAAAATTTACCAGTACTAAAAAACATGAACAATAGATTTTCAATACTGGCAAATTTTAGAACACAGCCTAAATAATACATAAATTAAACATTCATACATATTTTTTTGGTCATAAATAAACTATTACTAATTACAATTAAAAAACATTTATTTACATATTTGACGGCTTTATTTTTCTAAATAAAGTACGTAAATGCACAAATTTCGCCGTGTTTCATACCAAAATGGAGGTGAATTTGCGATATTTAATAAATCTAGTGACTTTAGCTGAGAATTTTCTAGATTAACTGAATTCTTAGCACTTTCCTTTTCGGTTCATCGACTGTTTCTATTTTGACTTGAGGTAGTGGATAATGGCTTTTTAGATACACTTTTATATACATATGATACATTAATTCACATATATCATTAAGGGAATACTGGAGCCGCCTGTATTATCGATAAAACTAGCGTTTTTAATGTTTTTGTTCCTGTTGAATGGTTCTTCGTAATGGTTTCACAGAATAAAAATTCCTTTTCCACAATTAAAATATACATGCTAATGTATTTGTCGCTGGTGTATTTTGTGTTCAAAGCTAGAAAAATGAAAAAATACAAATTTCTTTATTCATTTTACCTATAGCGTTGGTCGCTATACTGAGATAAAAATAGATAAAGAAATCTGTAATTTTTTATTTTTTCCAACTTTGAACACAAAATACACCAGCGACAAATACATTAGCATGTATATTTTAATCGTGGAAAAGGAATTTTTATTCTGTGAAACCATTACGAAGAAATTCGACAGGAACAAAAACATCAAAAACGCTAGTTTTATCGGTAATACAGGTAGCTCCAGCATCCCCTTAACTTTCATTTTGTTAATAAATAATTTATATGTTACTGCCCTGTGTTAGCTTTTATTGGCTTTTGTTCTTTTTAGATTTATTCGTCGGAGCCTATAACTTTATTGTCTTATTATTGTTATACAATTTTGTTAATGTTACATACATTTATTCTAAAAAGAATTAAGTAACACAATAGATTCATTAAGCCAAAAAAATATTATCTATATTCAATGATTTCTATAGATATCTTGTGTCATCTTTGTAGCCGTACTGTTTTTAAACATGGCTGGCCATACCTATTTACAGCCTCTTCAAGGAAAGCGTTCTCCATTTGCCTCACAATTTCATTAAAAAATAAATTTGACAAATGAGAATAAATGGTAGACTTAAACTCGAAAGACAAGGAGAAGTCGATTACACATGTTTCTAGATTATTTTTCAGTCCAGGACTAAACAACCACAAGGTATCTAAATGATGAAACAATCTGCCATCCTTACATTCAGCTTTAACTAGCCTTGGATATACTGTAGTCACCATTGAAGTATAATTTTCATTTATAGGTGGAAACCCAATTACTAAATTGGCCTTCAAGAAGTCTTTGGTTTTCAAAGTAATTTCAGATTTTTTGCAAAAGGGTAAAAAATTTTTATAATTTCCTACATCAGCAACTACGTAGTACATTTTCTCCATTGAAAAGCTAAAGAACAAAAAAATTTGGATACTTGGAGATATATTCTATAATAAAAACATACAATTTATAATATACATATACATATGAATCACTAAATAGGTCTGTTCTTTTTAGCTAAACTTGTTGCATAACACTCATCTTTTTCTCTTTTTTCTGTCTACTGTGAAAAAACAAGGGGAAAAATGAATTATGCAATAAGATCAATTAGAAAGAACAGGCTTAATATGTCAAAATATAAGTAAAACAGATTGTAGTAAATATAAATATCACTTTAAATATTATTTAATATAGTATAAAATAAAATAAATTAAAATAAAAGAATTTTTAAAAAATCTTTTTCTATCTATTCTTATTACCCCACTAATTTGCGACCTTCGTATTCTTTGGTTTTATGATTTGCTCGTGTTCTATACATTCGCCACAAATTCCATTTAGAAGAATCATATTTCCATGGCAATGTTAATTGTGTCAGGATCAATGCGTGCCTAAAATGTTTTTACAAACTGGTAAAATGTTTTTACAGTTTAGCATTCTGTGGCTCAAAAATTAAAATTAAAATTGCGCTTACTCGATGCGTTTTTGCATGAAGTGAAAGAATCTAGTAGAAATAAGCATTGCTCTGCCCCACGAACCAAGATATTAATCGTTAAAGTTAACGATTATTAGAGTTAGGAAATAGGTGAGCTGCAGTCACATTTTCATGCTTTATAGCCACATACATGTACGTTTTAGGTATTTCTTGCTGTTTTAGGTACTTTTCTGTTTTAGAAATAAAAATTATATAAGAAAATAATTTTTGCTTTTAAAGCAGAGAATTTGTATAATTAAAATAAAAAATATTTATTCTAGCCTCACTTACATGTCTCGTGTCCCTCTATGCTATCGATGTGACAGATTTCCTAACCTGAATAGTCATCAACTTTAACGAATAACATCTCTGTTCTCGGATATCTCGGGGCACAGCGCGACGCCAAATTCTTTCGTTTCGTGCAAAAACACCTCGAATAAACCTAATTTTATTAATTTTTGCGCGTGCTAAACTGTATAATTAAAATTACATAAAATACATTACCTATGCATATCAAGCGTAAAATATTCAATTATGTTACAATATTCGACAATGCACGTTTAGCTTCAGCCTCTCAGGGTGAAATCACACGGTGCGGAAAAAGACCTCGGAATAGAGAATGCGTCGTTGAAGCAACCAATCAACGCTATTCAGCGCTATTCGGAATAGAGCGGGGAGCACAGACTCTTGCATAACACGTAATGCATAAGAAAATGTACCAATCAAAGCCCTCCGTTTTCTTCCTTTCCATGAAATAAAGAATTCTGATTGATTGAATTTCTTATGCATTACATGTTATGCGTTATGCAAAAGTCTGTGCTCCCCGCTTAGCGCTGATTACTTGCTTCAATGGGCGCATTCAGCGGACTCAATAGTTGAGTGAGCGCTTGCTGTTATTGGTGTATTCTTTTAGCTCATCCAATCAGAATTTTAGATCTAGAAGAATACATCAATAGCAGCGGCGCTCACTCAACTGTTGAGTCTGCTGAATGCGTCCAATGACACATTCTCTATTCCGCAATCTTTTTCCGCACCATGTGATTTCACCCTCAAGCTGCGTTCCATTACACGCATGATGTATTTACATAATGCATCATTTATCCTTGTTTAACAATCGGTGAATAAAAAAGATAAAAGATGCATCATGCGCATCGTGTATGAAACGGAACGCAGCTTGAAGCCCATGGCACATACAAAAACGTAAGGCCGTAATACGTAAGCAGTAAAGAAATCGTAAGATTGGATTCGCTACTGGCCTTACGGTCTCTATCGTGATTGGCCAATTCGCTTACTGATTATGTCTTACGGCCTTACGTTTTTGTATGTGCCATGGGCTTCAGGCTCTCACATATCAAAACCTCATAGAACCTAAAAATAGAGCTAACGTCATTCTACCTTTCTATCACATTCTAATTTTTAAGCGAGGAGCACAGTCAAGATCATCACACGTACAAAAATTTTAATCGGAATCGTAAGGTCGCAAGCAAATCGACCAATCACAATCAAAATTAAGATCTCCCGTTTTTAAACGTTTGACTGTGATTGGCCGATTTGTTTACGGTCTTACGATTACGACTAAAATTTTTGCACGTGTGATGGCCTTTAAGGCCTAAAAGGTTGCAACATTTTTTTTAAACCTCAAATTTATGCCGTCTACAATTTGTGAAGTAAGCTTGATTTAAGAAGTAAGAGTAAAAAATTGACTAATCACAGTCGATTGTGAAAAGAATAATCGCCTGTGATTGGTCAATTTCTTACTCTTACTTCTTAAATCAAGCTTACTACTGTATTGTAGACGGGCCTTAACAGTAGGGTTTTAAGCCTTAAGCCATAAGAAATGGGCAAATTACAGTCGATTATTCCCCTCGGATTCGACTGTAATTGGTCAATTTCTTATGGCTTAAGTCTTAAAACACCTAATGTAGATCCGGACTTAACCGTAATAATGAGGGTCTCTACTTAACCAAACTTACTTAGCATATGCTGGATTCACACTGCATCCGATTTTCGTCGTACGAGGCTCTGCAACCAATCAGAAAACAGGATTCCGATGAATTTTGCTTTGTATTATCGGAATCCTGTTTTCTGATTGGATGCAGAGCATTGTACGACGAAAATCGGATGCAGTGTGAATCCAGCAATTAGGCTGCGGTTCACTTGACGCTACAAACGCTTCGAAGCATTCTTTGATTAGTCAATTCGTAAAACTCTATTCTTTGAAGCGTTTGTAACGTCAAGTGGACCGTAGCCTAAGCTGCATAAGCATGAGACCGCTGAACCAATGAGCATCTTATGTAAATCAATATGGCGACGTTATGGTGAACGCTCATTGGTCCAACAATCTCATGCTTATGCTGTGTTCCCCCGGATCTACAATAGGGTTTTAAGCCTAAAGCCATAAGAAATGGGCAAATCACAGTCGATTATTCCCCTCGGATTCGATTGTAATTGGTCAATTTCTTACGGCTTAAGGCTTAAAACCCTATTGTTGATCCGGGGTTATGCATTTCATGTGTGACAGGCTCTACTGTCTTACGTTTTTGTGTGCAGTGTGCCATCATGCTACGGACTATTTTTCCATCATGAACGGAATGCAACCCTTGCGTTTAAAGTGCTTTCAAGTTCGAATCATGCAGAATTTAACCAAGTACTCGAAGCGATATTATATGGCGCCAAGTCGGATATTTAATTTCCCATCCAAAAGAATTTATTTTCCAAATGAAAAACTTGTTTACAACGTTCAATACTTGAATTACGCGCACAATAATAGAGCTCATAGGTTATTTCTTTCTATGTCTTATCATGTAAGTATCAACATGTTCTGTGATCTTTTATTCTGATTTCTATTTATTTAGCTAATTAATTTTTAATTTGTCTCAAAAAGCAAACTGCCCGGAATATGACAACAGATTGGCAGCAGTTCAGATATTGCAATAGATCATGTGTTTGCATTTAAAAATATCATATTTCAAAGCATTACCAAAAATATAAAAGTTTGATAAAACGTTCTGTTACTATGTGTGAATGCTGTGTAAAATTTGAATACAATTCTTTTATTGATGTAAGTTATTTAATTTTTTTATTTGTCTTGGTTCTTATGTAAAATTGCAGTAGTACATACTTATTTGCAAATTTGATGAGGTCGTAGCATTAGGAATTAAATCACATTTTTCATATATGCTAATAAAACTTAAATAAATATCTTGTTCATTTGGATCTACTTACTTGTTTCAAAGTCATTTGCCTAAAATTGCAGCTAAATATGAGGCCTGTTCTTTTTAGCTTCTTTTTTTCTTATCTTGCAGAGTTCATTTTTTAATTTTTTTTTCTAAAGAAAATAAGATTTCAGCGAAAAAGAACAGACCTATAATAATTGCGCTATAAAAAGTTAAATTATTAAATTATTATTTATATATATCATAATTAAATGTTTATTATAACGTTGAAAATTATTCGTTTTGTTTTTTACAGTTGATTTTATCACATATTTAATATTTATAACAAAAATTTTTTATTAATATTAGTTAATATTGTACAGCTAAAACATTCTTAAACTCTTATTAATCAGCACAGCAGAATTTGTGATATAATCTATGGTTTGTTTTCTGTTCCTGTACTATACTGCATTAGAACTCTCTTTCTTGTTTTTGACACATATGTTGAAATAAACTCTTAATAAAAAAATTTTACTTCTCTTATGTAAAGATTAGTTAAGTTTATTTAAATCTTGTTTTATAAATAGAAAATTTAATTAGAACAATATTTCAAGTAGATAAGAAGAATTAAGGCAAGAATACAATCAGAACAAATAACTTGATGTTACAATATCAGATTGTAGAAGTAGTTTTAAATACAATATTAAATCAATTAAGTAATAGAGATAGTAGTACATGAAAGTTTTACAATAAGTATGTGTTATTTTAAACTTATCTGAACGAACAGAACTATCGCTATTGCAAGACCACACAATTTCTATGACCGCTTGATACCGAAGTTCGCCGGAAAAATGAAAGGGACAAGCGAGCAACAACAATATTCAAATTTCTCAAAACGATATAAGAAAGCAATTCAACGCCATCTCTGGCAATCAGCCTGATGCAATTACCGATTGTAAATAAAATTCTTATTTCAACAATAAGCATAAAACACGCACACGCACACGCACACACGCACACACGTACCGCACACACACGCACACGCACACACACACACACCAAACATATATACCTTTATCTCACTTTAAGTTGTAAAAGTATACACTAGTTCAATCACAGAAAACAGACCTCCAATTAACAGATTAGCCCTGTTCTTTTTGGCTGAATTTTTGCACCAGTTCATCTTTCTTCCTTTTCTCTCCAAAAAGAAGAACAGGCCTATTGTTGATAAAAGTCAAGTAGAATCGATTCATCATTTCATATATATATATATATATATATTAAAATGGAATCATTTAAATAGTAATGAAAGGGAGGGAGGGAGCAGAGTTTGTGTTCAATTTCTGCGGTCAATCCATTACATTCTGTTAGATTCTTTATATTTTTGCTGACATCCTATTGACAAAATTTGTAGCAGATACTTCCAAAATCTGTTTTTGACAGATTTGGCTATTCCAGTGTAATAATCAGACTGATCGATCTTTATATAGATATAATATGGATGTGTTTGACAGAAAAGAAAGTCATTAATGAGAATATGCCTCTACATAATCAAGTTTGTTTGGAAACAGATTTACAAAGCGCATCTGTTGCAAATTTTGTCAGAAAAAATCTAATAAAAGTAGCGAAATTTACTAATATAGAATATGATGGTAGATCATGGTAGATTGAATGCAAATATCGAGCAAAGTCTATCATTTCACAATTTAAATAATATATTTTATTAAAATGTAAAATTTTATTTTACAAAAAAAAAAGATACATTCTGTCTGATTTCTGCTGGTAATCTGTTGTAAGATTATATCAGCAGTCTGTAGCAGAACACAAGCTTAATGCAAATGCAACTGCCAATCTGTCGTAATATTCTATTTGAATCTGATTGCAAACTGCTAGCTTTCTGTTAATAATTTGCTGGATTTGTTTTTAGGCTTATAAGAAAATTCGTAAAGAATTTCATACTGAGCAGTCGACATTGATGTGCAGTAGTAAATTTAGCTTTTCTCCAAGATTTAATAGTATCAGATATTTTAATACTACATGTAGTAACTCCAATAAACAATCACCAAAGAAATCAGGCGTAGAAAATTCAGGCAAGAAGCCTGACGAAAATGAAGATATGAAATCAGTTCTCACTAAGCTCTCCATGTGGCTTATGGTTGTGTATGTTACCCTAATTGCATTGAAATACCAGATGGAAGCATACTCAAATTCAGAAGTAAGTTTTTTATCAACAATCATTTGTCATAGAAATTATTTAAAAAGTATTAAGTATTACAATGTTTGCATAGCCCTCAGCTTCTGTCTCCTGGAATGAATTTGTATACGACATGTTGAATAAAGGAGAAGTCGAAGCGATTATTGTAAATCCTACTATTGAGCATGTTATAATTGTGGTGCATGATGGTGCTATTATTAAAGGAAAAAGAAGCCTGTACAAGAGATACGATATGGCTGTTCCAAGTATTGAAAATTTTGAAGAGAAACTGAGGAAGGTAGAAAAAAATCTTGGTATAAAAGCAGGTAAATAAATCATTTGCAAAGTATTAACAAACACCATGCGCTAGAGTGATAATCTTTTAATAAAATGTTTTAGGCCAAGGAGTACAAGTAATTTATGAAAGGAAGATAGAATATATAGCGAGTATCATAAGACTTGTATTTGTTGCGTTGATAGCCGCCGTTGCTTTTAGTTTTGTGAGAAAACGTTTCTCTTTTAAACCTTTCGAAATTATTTCACAAATGAAACAGGCAAAATTTACTCTAGTCGAACCGTTGATGGAAAAGGGTAAAGGTGTCCGTTTTAAGGATGTAGCTGGATTAAAGGAAGCTAAAATAGAAGTAATGGAGTTTGTCGATTATCTGAAAAAACCAGAACGATATAAATTACTAGGTGCTAAAATACCACAAGGCAAGTGCAACAAAACAAACACATACATATTTATATATAAATAAAACATTCTAAGTTTAGGCCATAAATTGAATTCTAAAAATATCCTATTTTCAGGTGTTTTACTTTTGGGACCTCCTGGGTGCGGTAAAACATTACTGGCTAAAGCTGTGGCAACTGAAGCGAGTGTTCCTTTCCTATCTATGAATGGCTCCGAGTTTATTGAGGTATTCGGTGGTTTAGGTGCTGCTCGCGTCAGAGATTTATTTAAAGAGGCTAAAAAGAGGTTTGTCTGTTTTTTCCTTAAATTTATTTTAATGATTATTTTAATGACTTTAATATTTGCTTTAATTCCTTAGAGCACCAAGTATCATATACATCGATGAAATTGACGCAATTGGCAAAAACCGTTCAGAAAGCTCATTTGGAATTGGTGACCGTGAATCTGAACGAACATTGAATCAACTTTTAGTCGAAATGGATGGGATGATAGCAAAAGAAAATGTCATTATATTAGCCTCAACAAATAGGGCAGATGTATTGGACAAGGCATTATTAAGACCTGGCAGATTTGATCGACACATTTTAATCGATCTTCCCACGTTGGAGGAAAGACAGCAGATCTTCGAGACTCATCTAAAACAAATATCTCTAGAAGACAAACCTTCAAAATATTCGAGATATTTGGCTTTTCTTACACCCGGTTTCAGTGGTATTGCATTTATCTATAAAAAGAGCTTTATACAAACTATTTCAATAATTGCACGAATAAATAATGTTTCAGGTGCTGACATAGCAAATGTTTGTAACGAAGCCGCACTACATGCTGCGAGGGATAAGAAGAAACAAGTAGACAGTAACGATCTTACATATGCGATTGACAGAACGATTGGTGGTTTGGCAAAGAGAAATAATCCGTTAACACCTTCCACGAAACGCATCGTCGCCTATCACGAGGCTGGTCATGCGTTAGTAGGATGGTTAATGGAACATACCGATGCCTTGCTCAAAGTAACGATAGTGCCGCGAACAAATTTAAAACTGGGATTTGCACAATATACTCAATCCGATCAGAAGCTCTATAGTAAAGAGCAACTCTTTGAACGTATGTGTATGACATTAGGTGGTCGAGTCGCGGAATATGTGACATTCGATAAAATATCGACGGGCGCCGAAAATGATTTGAAGGCTGTGACAAAAACGGCATATCTTCAGGTCCGACAATTTGGAATGAGTCCAGCTGTGGGTTTAGTTTCTTTCGACGAAGAACGTATTGACACGGTATGAAATAATATTTCTGTGTGAACATTATATGTTTTCTAACATTATATTTGCGAGCATGTTTAATTTCTCTTTTTTAGAAAAAGAAGCCATACAGTAAAAAATTAGCAAATTTAATGGACGCCGAAGTAAGAAGAATAATAGGCGAAGCATATGAACAAACTCAACAATTGCTTTTGGATAACAAAGACAAATTAGACATAGTACGTATATTTGGACATACATTTAGGATTATAATTAAACAATATCGCATAAATTTGCATGAATAAAATATTTGATAAATTCTTGTTTAAGGAAGCCTCTCCAATTATCTTCGTCTTGATATATGTTGTCAAGATTATAACATTGGCTGCGTTCAGCAGAGGAAGCATCTTTGCAGCTGTTGTAAAATTCTTTAATATGAATGGTTTATACATTTAGATCCGTAAGGAACCAAAAGCAAGAACCAATCGTATTCAAGAATCTTATAACAGTTGCAAAGCTGCTTTTTCTGCTGAACGCAGCCATTGAGTAACATTCAAAAGATTTTACCCATTACTGGTTGTTTTTATATTAAAAAGTTATTAACAAAAGAAGTTTCGAAATTAGTTTTCTGACACCATGTATGTATTGAATATATCTGTTAAATTAAATATATTTAGTTAAATATACCTATTATATTAAATATATATTGTTTCATACAAGCACCATTAGAGGAGTATCAGACCACAGGTTGACAATTATGATTGAAGGTTGTCCGGTTCTATTTCAACCAATTATGATGGACTTACTACATCGTGATTGGTTTAGTAGAACCGGTAAATCGTTAATCGCAATTGTCAATCCGTAGTCTGATATGAGCATTACTGGGTTCCGGAGGAAGCATGTAATCTCCAGGATGCAGTACACTCAGGTGAGAAGAGGGACAGTCCATCTTTCTTCTTGCCAATTTATATTAGTAACTTTTAATTGACAAAAATATAACAAGAATTAAAAATATGTGATTAAAAAAAAGAATATGAATATGTATTATCGGTAGCAATATGTGCTATGGCTTTGCTTATAGTATGCATGATATGCCCTTACTTTATTCAATCTTTTCAGTTTTCATTATTTTTAGTATATTATAGATTAATCTATATTTAGTAAGGCGATGATTTAATAGATATCAGGAAACACGGTAGTAGACTCGGTGCTGTATTCAATATACGCTCTTTCCTTGCATAGGGACCTGTCTTGATTTTTTCAATTTTCATTATTTTTAGTATGTTGTAGATTCATTCAATAAGGTGAAGATTTAATTTAATACATAAATGGTCATGCACATTTATACAAAAACGCAAAGCGAGGTTTTACATAGGTTAACAATCAAAAATCATCTATTTTAAAAACTTTTGTTAATAACTTTAATAAACAACTAAAACCTTTTGAATGTCATAATTATGACCTTGACACAAAGTCAAGGTAGAGGGAATTCTTTAACAATTGTTTTACTAAATATTTTTATTGAGCACAGCTTGCAGAAGCTCTATTGAAGAGAGAAACATTATTCTATGACGACGTGGAAAAATTAATTGGACCGCCACCCTATGGAAAGAAGCGACTTGTAGAACCATCAGAATTTGAAAATTCTGATCCAGCTAGAGAATCCCCCTCGGTAGAGAGAGAACCTGTAGAGTGAGAAACATATTTAAATTTTTTATATAGATATTTATATTCTGTATAGAAATTAGTAAGAGATAAAATATATTGAATATATTAAACCATTTTTTAAATAAATTTTATAGATTTGTAAAATACCTTTTGTTACACACACACACACACACACACACACACACACACACACACACACTTTTTTCACGCACACGCACACGCACACGCACACGCACACGCACACGCACACGCACGCACGCACGCACGCACGTACACTATGCACATTCTTTATTCATGTATCATGCATCACATCTAATTTCTGTGGCCTAAAACTAAATTTAAATAGTGGTAATAATTAAAATCATGGAAATGGAAGAATTATATTTTTATTTCATTATTTAAATAGAAATAAAGTTTTGCTATGACACATACATAGTTGAAAAATATAGGAAATGTAGATTTAAAAAATTGTTAAATCTAAAATGCTTCATATGGTGATTAGTATTTTTCTAATTTTTTTTCAATAAAAATAGATACACGTACTTTTCTCTTTAAATATATGTATATATTGTGTATGAATAACTAAAATATACTTTATGTCGAAAAATTAAACATTATTTTGAACTTTAACGGGCATTTTTGTTATGAATTTTAGAGAGATAATTACAAGATTAAATATGCAACAAAGTAGATACTTTAAGTACTTGCACTTAATTCGTTTTTATATAAGAAATATTAATATATGTCAAACATATCGCATAACAGAAGTTGCAACTCAAGCTACTTATCTGTAGTTCTTATTAATTATGAAATAATTTATATTTCGGAAAAATCATTATTTTATCGATATTAAAAAGGAAGATTAGAAATTAAATTCTAAAAAATTATTTAGATTATTTAATAATTCACATAATATTTATATTAAGATGATATAGTTAGTAGCAGTAATCATTAAATTATTTAAGAAAAGATCTATAGTTTATCGTAATACAATGTGATCAATATAATGATCAATTTTGTCAAAATAAAGTTCGGACTATATTAGTTTGTGACGTTACTTATGTACGTAGCACAGCTAAAATAAACAAAATAGAATATATTATTATACTTATAAAAAAATGTAAGGAATAACGGTAATAATACAACAATACAACTATATGTTTATGCCACACATTACTGTAGCCGGATATCTTGAATAAGCGAGATAATATTGCATATTTATCATTGGTATTATAAATTGTAGGAACAATTAGCGTTTACTCGAAATTTCGAACTAAGGATGATTTTGATTTTTTATCTGTGCCTTGCCAGGGCACTTATGGAACAAGTCAGAATGAATTCCGATCGACATTATTCCGTTTTCCTTAGAAAATACAATAAAAATCTAGAGAATAATTGAAGAACTCCGATCGGAATCGATTTCGAATAATTCTATAATATGTACCCAGTTCTTCAAGCATGCACTTCTACAGGGAATGGAAGTATTTATTATAACTGCCGTTACTTAGTTGCTTAATTACCTTGTTGTAATAACGATTTGGTAATGACGTTGCGAATTTTTTATGATGTTAATGTAACATAAGAGTTGGAACAGTCAATAGTTACTTACAATGTGTGGGAAGACATTCGTTAGTGAAAAAATAACTCGCAATTTATAACTCGCAATTTGTAACTCGTTACTTTTGAATGTAACTTGTAATGAGTAATTTTAAGGCGTTACTCGTTACTTATTACTTTTTTCAATAAGTAACGCATAATTCAATAAATAACGACAATTTAGTTTTCAAAATGACTTTCCTTGGCATAACCTCAGCGTTTAGTTAGTTATCATTACAGTCAATTATAAAAAAAATTGTAACATCATTATCAAATTATTATTATAAAAAGTAATTGGAAAAGTAACTTCCATTCTCTGCACCTCTATCACATTTAATATAACTTATTGTTTAATTATTAAATCTTTGATAACGCCATTAAGAGCTCGCTCCAAGTGTGAGCCGTCCCAATAAACTTTTCCACAATGCTCGCAGATGTAAAAAGTCTGCACATTTTTCAGTACGTTTAGTGGGACTTTATCAATTTGTATTCGCATGTTGTATCTGGTCGTACATGCGTCAATGTCAAGAGTATTTATGGACAAACGCCATGTACGATGTTCGCTATTTGTAAAATGATTATTTGGATTTCGAACAACTTCAAAATCATCGTTCGAATCGGAGTTATCAGCATTTAATGTATTGTCAGCTCGATTAGGCAATACTCGATAATTGTTTCTTCTTATAATTTTCACGAAGCTAGATCAAAATAAAATTTTTATTATATGAAATTGAAAAAAAGGAAAGAAAGATATGTATAATATGTATAATATAAATAACTCAAAATTCAATAAATTAATTCACCTTTGCATAAGATCATCCATTAGCTTCTTTGGAACTTTCACGAATTCATCAAAGTTACATATTTGACATCGGCTGAAAATATCATTCTGTGTAACCACAATACCGAAGTAATTTAAAACTTCACATAGTTGGTTGTCAGCTGTGTCGGCCATTATCCTATAGCAATTTTCCAGCGGTAGATACTGCTTAAACTAACAGAGAATATTAAAATAAGATCTAAATTAATGTTGACATAATATAAAAACAGATCTTACTTTTTCATAATTCTTGTTACGCGTTAGTAGAATCCTATTTTCGCGCATTGCCAATCTCGCGGAATCATCTCCTCCTTGATCAAATAATACATGTATGCAATCTATGCCACACATGCGCAATTTGCTGCTTAAACCACCCAACATTGAATCGCATACAACACGCCATGTATGTGCAGGGATTGAATCGCAATTCCGTCGTTGTATGGGCTCGAGTTTATTCGTATTATTTTGTCTATTTGGAGTATTTCGTCTACCTTGAATATCTTCCCATCTATCCTGTTTGTCATATCTATTATAATTATCGTGTCTACCTTGATTACCACCACGTCTACTCTGGGGATCATATTTATTATGATTATCATAATTATCATATCTTTTCTGATTGTCATATCTTCCGTTGGCTGTTTGATTCATTCTGACATTTGCTTGTTTATTCTGATTATGATTATCATATCTTCTTTGGTCATCGCGTCTTCTATCATTAACTATTTGGATTATTCTAGTATGCGCACTTCTGTCACGATTATAATTATCGTGATTATCATATCTATTGTCACTGGTTGATTCACGATATACAGATCTACTTTGATTCTGTTTATTATATCCATGTTTGAATGTAGACTTGTATTCTATACCATATTTTGGTGAAGTTCCTACTACATTCATGCGATAATTCTCATTGTCTTTATTAGGTATTGTTGGATTTGAATACATATATTTCTATAAAACAGTCAATAATGAAGTCTCTAATATGAGAGATATAATTAAATCAATGTAACATGTTTTGTTAACCTTCCATCTGCAATCTGTTTTGGCATAAGCAAAATTTCACTTTTAAATTTCTCTGAAATAAAGAGAACGGCAAAGTCTCTAGTTCCCCTTTTCTTTTAGAAGCAAGATATTTCATATCTTGCTAAAAATCTATTTGGTAGTGTTTTAATCCTGAATTTTTCCACATTTCTTGAAAGCTTACATAGTAAAAAAAAAAAACAAAAAAACTTGGACTGGACGGAGAGAATAAAAATATGATTGCAGACAGAAAGTTAAAATATTTATTCTTATACAAAAGATAATAAAAAACAAACATATTGTATATATTTAAATAAATAAATTATTCCATGGCTTTTTTTTGAAGAATAATATAGCAAAAGAAGAAATAAAGATATACATCTAACAATAAAAATAACGTTTTCCTCGTAATAAAGATAACATTTTCGTCAGATTATATGGAATGTTTTTCCATTCATCTTTAAATGAAAAAAAATTACAGTTTTTTTTTACTAGAGTTATTATGTTATGTTCATGTATTAATATAATTTGTTACAACTTATACCTTATATGCAGTTTTATTCATATTAGTCTTTGTATATGCATGCGGAATATGCTGTATTTCAGCGCAAATATCTTCAAACGGTATGGTCATATCTGCTGAATAATCTGCTAGTACATTGTATATTTCCAACAAACAATATGCATCTAGCGCTGTAACATAATAGAGACACACACACATATATGTAGTAATGGACAAAATTATATATTAATCAAATTAAATAGAAGATAGAAAAATGATTATATATATATATATATACCAACCAGCGTATATTATTTGACTTTCCCTCAATGGTCTCAATTCCCAATTTGAAAACTGATCAGACTTATCGAGTCTTTGTCCGAAACATAATTCCACAAGTTTACTTAGACTTCTGTTTGTGAAATTTGGATCACCTTTGTATGGGAAAACAAAATTGTATTCTTCTACCAATTTTCTCCATAAAAGTATCAAATCAAGATATCCTTGGCCATGTGTTTTAATGGAGGATAAGGCAGGTAAACTATTACGTATTACAGTCATGTCTTGTGCTATTCCAAATCCTATATGAAAAATTTTATTATATTATTATTAATATATAATTTTAATATCTTTCACATTTGTATTATTGAATATGTCATTAATATCATAAAATAATTAATTCTATTTCCAAGATAAGTGCAAAATATTAAGTAAAATATAATATGTATATATTGTATTAAAATATGTATTAAAATAATACAGACAATATATACTAATATTTTAGATAATTGAAAACACATACCAATCTTGATAATATCTTTATTTCCGAATAATACAAGACCAAGTTCATTCCAAAGTTCAAGTAATTTATCGCCAATAGTAGTTATATCCAGAATGTAGACGTTATCCTCAGTAGCTATTTGCATAAGTGCTAGTTCAGCTTGTTTAGTTCCTGATAAAATATATGCATTTTATTTTAATTGAATTAAAATATATTGTTCTGTAGCTTATTTATATGTTCAGGTTTTGATTATAATTACCAAAGCTAGGTTTCCACTCTAAGTCAATTCCAACTATATTAACATCCCTCAATCCGTTATCAAGGAATTCTTCGAATAATCGTCTATCATCTACTAA